CAAATGTATTATCTCCCAGTTCTGGAGCTCAGAAGTCCTACTTTAGTATATGTGCTGCCGAAGTGAGCACTCAGAAGTCCTATATTCAAGACATCAGCAGGGCTGCATTCCTCCTGCAGGCTCCACTGGGGGCAAAATTCATTTCTTGCCTTTTCAGCAACTACCAGCATCCCTTGGTTTGTGGCCCTTCCTCCATTTTCAAAGCCAGAAGCAGAGCATCTTCCAATCTCTTTCTTGCTTTTCCTGCCCTGTCTATTATTCCTCATCTCTGCTTCCTTCATCACATCTTCTCTGACTCTCCTTCCTCCCTCTTTCTCTTATAAGGACTGTTATAATTGCATTGGACCCACCTGGATAATCCAACATAATCTCCCTATCATGAGATCTTTGATTTAATTGCAACTACAAAGTGTTTTTACCAAGTAAAGTAACATAACCACAGGTTTCTGGGGATCAGGACATGAATGTTTGGGGGATGGAGTTGAAGGGACATTAATCTGTCTACCACAATGATTAACAACATAAATGTACAAATTGTAAAAAATATTTTTGGTGTCAGAATATTATATAACACAATAAATTTCCTAATACTTTAATAATGTGATATCTTGATTGATCATAAGATTTTTCTGGCTTAGTATTCTACAAATTTACTATTAGGCTATCAAAATTTATACTTTTAGCAACTTTGTTCTCAACTGACATAATTGAAAGTGCCATCAGTCTCTCTTGGCAAATGCAAGATGGCAAATGATTTTTAATAATTTCAAATTTAGAGAAGGAAACTTCCTGCTGATGCAACTGTTACAGGAGCTGATATGAGTATTTTATGACCTGTAGCAACTTTGGGTTAATGTACAAATTTTGGTCCATCTAGAATTTATGATTCTCATGTAACTATTTTTCTAAAAAGATTTAATTCATGTAAATCAGCTTTTTGTAAGTCCAAATTTAATTCTAAATGTATATTTATATAATAATAATATATTAATTTTTCCTCTAACATTTCCTATAACTTGTGAGGGTTGTTCAGTTCAGTTCAGTCGCTCAGTCATGTCTGACTCTTTGCGACCCCATGAACCGCAGTACGCCAGGCCTCCCTGTCCATCACCAACTCCTGGAGTTCACCCAAACCCATGTCCATTGAGTTGGTGATGCCATCCAACCATTTCATCCTCTGTCACCCCCTTCTCCTCCTGCCCTCAATCTTTCCCAACATCAGGGTCTTTGCAAATAAGCCAGCTCTTCGCATCAGGTGGCCAAAGTATTGGAGTTTCAGCTTCAACATCAGTCATTCCAATGAACACCCAGGACTGATCTCCTTTAGGATGGACTGGTTGGATCTCCTTGCAGTCCAAGGGACTCTCAAGAGTCTTCTCCAACATCACAGTTCAAAAGCATCAATTCTTTGGCATTCAGTTTTCTTTATAGTCCAACTCTCACATCCATACATGACCACTGGAAAAACCATAGCCTTGACTAGATGGACCTTTGTTGACAAAGTAATGTCTTTGCTTTGCAATATGATGTCTAGGTTGGTCATAACTTTCCTTCCAAGGAGTAAGCGTCTTTTAATTTCATGGCTGCAATCACCATCTGCAGTGATTTTGGAGCCCAGAAAAATAAAGTCAGCCACTGTGAGGGTTATACAATAAACCAAAAGTGGCTTTATGATATGTGTGTAATTCAATTATAAGGAAAATTAATTTAAAATTTCTCTTCCTCATTAATTAGTGGTTTATTCGAGGCTGCGTATGAAAACAGTGCTCTTTTCTATTGAATAGGATGATCCCTAAATTTAATTTATATGTCTAAACCTCCTGTGGGTATTTACTTTGCAACATTTCAGCAGTTTTCAAAAGCAGGGAGTCTAAACTCTTAGAAGAACTCTAATAACTCCTTTATATATACACTATTACCATTCCACATGCACACCTTTATTTTGTACTAATTTACTGACAAAGTTTAATGCCTAACTGAGAGCAGTTCTTGTCATGGAACTCAGGATGTCAAGTTCATATTTGTGTAAAGCCTACAGGGACGGACAGGCAAGCCCATTTCCCATTATGTGTCCCAGGGTGGAGTCCTTGCTCACTCCTGCACCAACAGCTCCTGCTACCAGGGCTGCTGCTTCTACAGCTGTGGCCACCCACCATGAACAGCACCAGTCTGGACCCAGTTCCTAGGCTGACTGCCTTGGGGCCCTATGAGGGCCAGACTATACAAAAGGTCTATTTGCGTCCACATAACCTGCCATTCCTATGAACCTAAGCCCACATGAGCACACGCTACCATCAAGCACATCTCCACTGTTCATGCACCTGCTTCATTATTTCATCAGATTTCATTTACAAAACACAGATCAACGATAACATTGTTATGAATCTTTAGAAGGCAACAGCAAAGCTTACTTGATGGTGGAAATGTTAGGACTTCGGCTTCCAATGCAGGGGGTAGATGTTCAATCCCTAGCTAGAGAGCTAAGATTCTGCATATCTTGAGGCCAAAAAACAAAAACAGAAGCCAATACTGCAACAAATTCAATAAAGACATTCAAAATAGTCCACATTAACAAAACAAAACAAAACCAATTATGGAGTCCTTCTGGGGGTGGGGTCCCTATGTGACTGCCCAGGTGGCACACCTAAGATGACCCTGGTGCCAATTAGGCCATTTGATACTTAACTGATCAGTGAACATACATCAGATCCATGCAACAGATATGGTGCTCACTCATGGTATCTTTTTCCAGCTTTTCCTAAATGTGCTCTAACAAGGAGGAACATGACTGTTTCTACTACCAAAATAATAACTCAGAAGCCTGTATGCCTTTGTACTTCCATATCCATTATCTCACCAGAGTGCCACAACCCACTGCAGTAGCGAGAAAGGATTATTGGTTCTAATTAATTAGTCCTCACAACGATCCATGGTGGTCTGGAAGTATTTTTGAAGCTGTCTGACAGATGAAGTCAGAGGTAAATGATTTTCCTATCTACCTCACCAGGCTGTTGGGTGACTGAAGTTAAAAGTGGTTATGAAAAGTGTTTTGTCAGCAATGAGGTAGAGAGCACATATATTACCATTATTCTTTCTTGGGAACATCACATGGTAAGGACTGGGGAATCAAATTCAGGTTTACAGTAACTAATCAAGATCTCACCTTTTAAATGTTAAATCTTTTCAGTTTATGTAACCTGGCCAAACAACCTATACCTTAATCTGAACTCTTTATGGTCTGAGTCCATTCGAGAAGGGCAATTTGCTACTTCCAGAAAAATAAAATTATGCAACCAGCTAAGAATATCACCTGGACATGGAACAACAGACTGGTTCCAAATAGGAAAAGGAGTACGTCAAGGCTGTATATTGTCACCCTGCTTATTTAACTTATAGGCAGAATACATCATGAGAAATGCTGGGATGGAAGAAACACAAGCTGGAAACAGGATTGCCGGGAGAAATATCAATAACCTCAGATATGCAGACGATACCACCCTTATGGCAGAAAGTGAAGAACTAAAGAGCCTCTTGATGAAAGTGAAAGAGGAGAGTGAAAAGTTGGCTTAAAGCTCAACATTCAGAAAACTAAGATCATGGCATCTGGTCCCATCACTTCATGGCAAATAGATGGGGAAACAGTGGAAACAGTGGTAGACTTTATTTTGGGGGGCTCCAAAATTACTGCAGATGGTGATTGCAGCCATGAAATTAAAAGATGCTTACTCCTTGGAAGGAAAGTTATGACCAACCTAGACAGCATATTAAAAAGCAAAGATGTTACTTTGTCAACAAAGGTTCATCTAGTCAAGGTTATGGTTTTTCCAGTAGTCATGTATGGATGTGAGAATTGGACTATAAAGAAAACTGAATGCCAAAGAATTGATGCTTTTGAACTGTGATGTTGGAGAAGACTCTTGAGAGTCCCTTGGACTGCAAGGAGATCCAACCAGTCCATCCTAAAGGAGATCAGTCCTGGGTGTTCATTGGAAGGACTGCTGTTGAAACTGAAACTCCAATACTTTGGCCACCTGATGCGAAGAACTAACTCATTGGAAAAGACTCTAATGCTGGGAAAGATTGAAGGTGGGAGGAGAAAGGGACGACAGAGGATGAAATGGTTGGATGGCATCACCAACTCAATGGACATGAGTTTGGGTAAACTCCGGGAGTTGGTGATGGACAGGGCGGCCTGGCGTGCTGCAGTCCATGGGGTTGCAAAGGGTCAGACACAACAGAGCTACTGAACTGAACTGAAGAATATCACAAATAAATTAAAAAACAAGTCTGAGAAATACAAAATAGAAAAAAATACTCCTGTATGTTTGTGAAGTAACATTACTATAAAACTATTGAGTTAAAATGGTAAATCGTGAGAAAATTATAAATTCTTAGAACTCAAGGGCAATTAAAACATCATAGGTCAAAAATGTGTGGGACACAGAAAGAACTTTAAGGCTTTAAATACATTTATCAGGAAACCAAATTTTTAAAAGAGTTAAGCATTTAGATCAAGAACTTGGAAACAGGGCAACAGAGCAAACTCAAGAGAAAAACAGGAGAAAGAAAATAACACACGTAAAGGAAGAAATCAATGAAATAGTAAAAAAAAAATGACATTGAAGATTAAAAAACAGAAGCTGGTTCTTTGAAAGAATAGTAATATGGACAGGTCTTGGGCAGGTATTTTTTTTAAGGGGGAGAGAGACAGACAGATATACACATAAACATACAAGACCTCAATGGCGAGAAAAAAAAAAAACACAAAAGACCTATAAAATGATCTGAATAAATGGAAAGCCATTCCAGCATCTTCCATGGGACAACTTAATACTGTTAAAGGTCAATTCACCTCAAAGTGATATATAAAAAGAAAATTCTGATCAAAACTCTGGTTGCATTCTTTGAGGAACTTGACAAACTTCTTCTAAAATTTACATGGAGGGTGAACTTCCACCTCAGTGGTGTGGAGAGGGCGCCTGGATCCACAGCCTCTGATCATGGCAATGACCCTGGGTTACTGGCACCTCCACAGCCTAGCTCATGTAGTCCGCCTGCTCCTGGAATGCACAAACTCAAACTATGAGAAGTACAGAATAGGGGACAGTCCCAACTATGACAGAAGCCAGTGGCTAAGTAACAAATTGAAGCTGGGTCTAGACTTCCCCAATCTGCTCTATTTAATTAGTGGGGCTCACAAGCTCACCCAGAGCAAGGCCACCCTTGACTCCACTGCTCACAAGCACAACATGAGTGGTGAGACTGAGAAGATATGCATGGCCGTGATGGGGAACCGGGCTACAGACACTGCTGATGACTTGGTCCGAGTCTGCCACCGCCATCACTCTGAGAAAATGAAGCCTCAATACCTGAAGGAGATCCCTGAAAATATGAAGCTCTACTCAGAGTTTCTGGGGACAAGGACTTGGTTTGCAGGGGACAAGCTCACCTATGTGGGTTTCCTGGCCTGCACTTTATATTTGACCCCAAGTGCCTGGATGAATTCCTAAAGCTGAAAGACTGCCTCACCTGCTTTAAGGGCCTAAGGAGGATCTCTGCATACATTAGTCCAGCTGCTTCCTCCCACACCCTTTATGTTCAAGGATAGCCATGTGCGGCAATAAGTAGCACCCTGGAAGGCAGGAGGTGAATCCAAGAGCCAGTGCTGCGCTTGCTGGACCTCCCTGCACCCCAGGACCTTACTCTCTCCTTTCTTTCCATTTGCCTCCACTTAGGCCTTATTTGGCCCCAACTCTTTCCAAATCCCATTCATCCAGGATCTTTAAAACTCTACAGCAGCATCCCACTCTTCTTCAGTGAAGCCATCCCCTGACGTTATGCTTTCTGCTCCAAAGACAACCAGACCGTCCTTCCTTTCTGTGTTTTTTGTTTTTTTTTTTCCTGCCATGAGTCATTTCACCAGAACCCTGGCCTGCAGACTTTAGGCTTGATTTCCTCCGCACTGCCCTGAAGACCAGTCCTGGCCTGGTATGCCGACCATGCTCCCCCAGTGTGCTCCCTACCCAGCCCTGCCTGATTACCAATAAAGCCTTAGCCACACACACACAAAAAATAAGTAAAATAAAATAAAATTTACATGGAAAAATAAAGGTCTACAAATAGCTACCTTTGAAAAATAAGAACTAAAAAGATCACAATGTTCCATTAGATACTGACATACTTAAAATCTGTAGCAATATTTTTTGAATGTATGCTAACCAGGGGCTTCCCAAGTGGTTCAGTAGTAAAGAATCTGCCTGCCAATACAAGAGCCACAGGAAACTCGGGTTCCACCCCTGGATCAGGAAGATCCCTTAGAGAAGGAAATGGCAACTCACTCCATTATTTTTTGTCTGGGAAATCCCAAAGACAGAGAAGCCTGGTGGGTTACAGTCCATGGGGTTGCAAAGAGTTGGACACGGCTGAGCAACTAACACTTACCCTTACCCAGATTGTGGTCCTCAAATACCATTTCCCACTAAACAAAACCAAAGCTACTTAAAGAAATGGCTGATTGCAGGTCTAAGACAGAAAATGTCCAAGATAAACCTGGAACACATTGGCTTGCCATATAGGAAGGAGGCAGTACAGAAATCACTAAGTCATGCTGAAAGGACCCACCCAGGAGCCAACTTGAAGAAGCCCCCAAAGACCAAAGGTAATCAAGTTCAGCATCAATAAGAATAATGACTGCCATAAATTGAAGCACATCAATTATGTTTAAATCCATGAGTTTACAATGATACCAAAAACATAAAACAAATTTTAAAAGACTAATTAGTTACTTTTAAAGATGCTAATAAACCAACTTATTATTTTGAAAATATGTAAATAAAGGAGAAGAATCAAGCTGTTACTCTGACTCCTAAATGAATTGTACCATTGAATAACCAAATAGTAGATAGGGGGATTTTTTTTTTTAATTAAAGTATTCCAACTAAAAATAAGGGAGAAGTGAAAGAATTACAATTTCATTATTTTGTATTCCTCAATGAAATAATGTATCAAGACACTGATCATCACAAAAAGAAAGATAATAAAGCCTCCTGATGGAAGAAAACACCACTGTTTACGAAGTCACCTTCTCAGAAAACCAAACCTGAATCTGATCAAATCTCTAGATTACACTATGACTTTATAATAAATACAGAAAACAGAGGAACATATTGAATGACAGAATAGAAATGCATTCAACAAAATCAAGACTAGGAAGTTTCACAGGAAAAAAATAATCAAATTTCTTCCTTAAATGAAATGCAAAGGGAAAGAGATGGAGGGCAGAACCAACAAATTAAAATCATTTAAGAGACATATCAATGAATCACACTTTATTTGGATTCTGATTCAAACTGTTAAAAACTACAGACATGTTTATGAAACAATTAGAAATTTAAACACTGATTAGATATCTGATCATGTCAACGAGTTATTGTTCTTTTCTTCTTGTCATAATTGTATTTGGATTGTTTTTGCTTTAATTCTGTATCTTTTAAAGATACATACTGAAATATTTACACATAAAATGACATGTCTTTGTCTTGAAAATAATACAGAAGGTGTGGAGACTGAGTGGAATATAGATTTTAAATGACTGTGAGTTTATGATTATGGAGGTTTGGCAATGATTACATGGGAGTTCATTATGTTAACCAGTGTAGTTTTGTTTATGTTTGATGTTTCCCTTAATCATGAAATGTTTAAAATAATATGATACTTTCAACAAGACTATATGAATTAATCAAAGAAACAAGAGAAAGGTCAGAATCTGGCTCTATCTATCTATCTATTCAAAACACTAACAAATATATAAAGGAAAGCTCAAACAGACTGGTGATTTTAAAAAATGCAAACTAAAGAAAAATTGAGGTATCACTTTATATCTATTACTTGACAAAAATTAGGAAACTGGATGCTGCCAATTGTTGGCAGAAATAAAGAAAATTGAACTATTTATATATTTTCTGGTGGTATCTTAACATGTAGACCTATAGTGTGCTTACAAGTACTTAACAACCAGCTCTGCAGAAAGAAAAAATATATAGCTTTACCAAATATATATGTGTGTGTGTATATATATATATATAGTATATATGTTTGTGTGTATACATTATATAGTTTACTATGAACTTTATTGATATCTATGCATATAGCATACAATTCATAAATAATGATAAACAATACCTTTATTGTAACTTCCATAAAATTAATTGATTTTCATAGAATGCTTTTATTGATTTTTGCCAAAGTGCTTTCCTGTGGATGCTATCCAAGAAGGAGTGCAGATCTGATATGAATGTTGGTTGATATTTTAGTGCATATTAGGAAGACAGCAAGGGCTTCCCCAATGTCTCAGTGGTAAAAAATCCACTTGCAATGCAAGAGATGTGGGTTTGACTCCTGGGTCAGGAAGATTACCTGGAGTAGGAAATGGCAACCTACTCCAGTATTCTTGCTTGGAGAATTCCATGAACAGAGGAGCGTGGAGGGCTACAGTCCATGGGGTTGCAAAGCATTAGACATCATTGAGCGACTGGACAGGCATTAGGAAGAAGGCAAAACTGAAGCAGTGAAGATGTAGGTGTGTTTGCCAGTGATCTGAGCAACTTCTTTGCTGAATCAAATATTTGAGGAATACTTCCTCAAACTTTTTTGTTATTCACAATGTAACAGCTGCAGACCTAATATACTTTAAAATTTATTTATATTACTAACATTTTCTTCATCACTTTCCTAAGCCTAAACAATTAATTAAACAATAAATCAGAGGTCACCAAACTTTTCCTATAAAGGGCCATATAAGAAATGTTTTAGGTTTTGTGAGTCATATGATCTCTGTCACTATTGAACTACTCAAATCTTCTGTGTAGCACAAAAGCCATCATACACATTATGTCAACAAATGGGCAAAATTAGGCAGTAAGTTGGGTTTCCATAGTTTGGCAACCCCAGTAATTTGTGGCATTTGCTGATTTTTGCTACTAATACAATGTCACTGAACACAAAGTTGTGAAGAGATATGCATTAGCACATTAGCACATACAACATTTCTACAATAGAAATAGAACATGCATAAATGATGATAAGTGCAAAGATAATCATACTATGTAGTAAAATAATTAGGAAGTGATGAGTTTTGAGTATTTATTACTTTTGATTTTTATATAATTTATCTAATTGAAATTGTATACAATTTAGTGTATAATAATGTCTCTTTAACAGCCAGCTTTGCACAGTTTCTAAAAATTAACCAGCTTTTGTGAGCCTATCTGAGTAAACTTGTAAAGATTATTGAGAAGAATATACCATACCTAATCCAGCGATGGAGAGGATCTTCCACTGATAGAAAGCATAGATATGATGTGGTAGATATAAACCATTAAATGCCAGACAACAGAAGAATGGACTAGACATACACATAGGAACCTCTGCCGCACAACTCCAAGCATTCACATTACCGTCTTTGTAATGGCATCTCTTGAGTAAACCATAACAATATGATTAGATCTTAAAAACATAGTGCTGAATTCTACTTCAAGCCATGATGGAATAACTAGGACTAGATTAGCCCTCTTGATGTGAACTTTTAGAAAATTGTACAAAACATATGAAACGAAGTTTTTAATCACTGGGCAACAGGCAGCAGAAGACAGATCCACACAAGAAGAGAAAAGAGATACAAAGTAAGCACCATAATTACCCTTTGTTTCTTACCTGGATGCATTGTTAGACCACAGTGGAGGATGAGGTGAAGAGAAATGTAAGCACACATGGAGGGCTTATTGACTTAAGAATTCTTGATAGAAATCAGAGTCCTGGGAGCTTGAAGCAGTTAAAATTGTAGGACAGAGTACTGAAGAAGACAGATCACACAGAAGACAGCTTTAGAACTCTACATTGGGAGAAACTATAAGAAAGACGAGTAGCTTAAAAAAAAAAAAAAAACAGACTAGTAACTAAAAGCTAAAGAATTTTTTAGAAAAGAATTAAAAAAAAAAAAGCTAAAGAATTTCTAGAATTCATAGAGCCTGGAGAGTCATTTGATTTCTAAACAACCAGAGTAAAGAGTCCTCATTGAGGATGATGGAGGGAAAAAATGTTTGAGGGGAAAATTGCTTTAAATTTTAAAAATTTAATAGAAACTCTAAACCACAGATTGAAAGGCTCAAACAGGATACACATAATGAGATCCACACTATGGCACATCAAAATCAAGTTGCTGAAAATCAATTATAATTTTAAAATCATAAAAGAATCTAGGAAAAGAAAACACATATACAGATATGAGAAAAAACTCAGATCATAAGATAGAAAACATGCCAGCCAGACAAAATATGTCCTATCTTAAGAGAAAATACAATCAATGAACACTGAATCCAATATGACACAGATGTTGAGATTATCATGCAAGAATTTTAAAGCAACTATTTATCACTATGCACAATAAGAACAGAGAAGATAAAAAATCTCAGCAGAGAAACAGAAAGTGTAAAACTGTGAAAGGGAAGTGTTAGTCGCTCAGTTGTGTCTGACTCTTTGTGACCCCGTGGACCATAGCCCACCAGGCTCCTCTGTCCATAGAATTCTCCAGGCAAGAATACTGGAGTGGTT